CGTTTTAAAATCTTTAAATTAGAGCTAATAGTCATACCTCATTCATAGGATTATTTAAGGATTAAGTGAGATAATGAATAATAAACTTAAGCATGGTGCCTAGCACACAGTAAATCCTAAATATGCTTTACAAAGGAATTCCCCTGTTCCGCTGGGTAGGTATTATACCCCTACAGAAGGAGTCTCGGACAGGGAAAGCAGTCTGCTCCAAATCACACAGCTAATAAGCGGTGAACCTAGCTGTCCACCCACATCCATCTTGTTGGCACATAGCGTGGCCACACTCGTTGCCTTGCACTCTGACCACATCAAGCTGCCCGTCCCTGCGGACTTTAGAGACCTCTCCCTGGGGAGACTGCTGAATGTCTGAGACACTGTCATCCAGTTACGCTTTAGTCCGGAAAATATTTATGGAAGAAGCCTAGGAAGAAAGAAGAAAGTGCCGTGGACTGGCAACATGAGACTACTTCCTTCAGTAGGAGCTGAAAAGTGCCCTGGCCTGTATGTGTAGATGGTAGACTCCTGCAGGATATTTTTGGGATAAAGAACTTATTGCTGAGTTAAAACAAACATGAAAGCTGGATTCCATGACTACCCTCACTCATAACTGAGCTTACCATGCTCTCCCAGGGCTCCATGCCTTAGCATAGGCTGTTCCCTCTGAAAGGAACACCCTTCCTCCTCCCACAACCACCACCTCCCCGACCGGACTCTTGGCTCCCTCCCACCTGGAATATACCTCTCGTAGTAGTTAGCACATGGCTCTATTTGTTTATATGGCTGTTTCCTGCCCTGGATCATGCTCGCCCCAGCGCAGGTGCCCTGCTCCACTCCTGTGTCTCCTGACACCGGGCAGGAGCCCCGATGAGAAGGTGCTGCTGGAGCCCGCATAGCGCCATCATTTGTTGATGGAACACATGCAGTGTTGATGGCGCTGACCTTATCCAGGTCCTAGGCTGATGCTCCCAGTGCAGAGCACAGTGAGGCAGGGGCCCAGGGGTGTGGTGGGTGCATCGCCACGGTCGCCAGAGGAAAGAGAAACCACTTCAAGTGTTTACAGCAAAGGGAATGTAATGCAGAGAATTGGTTTCACAGGTGCTGGAGGACCTACGAAGCCAAATAGAAAAGAGACGCCAGAAGTTAGCAATAGTTGGGAACCACTGCCGGTCCTAGGGGACAAAGACAGGAGGTGGCAGTTCCCAGAGCTTGAGAGCAGAGACAGCCTGGCGGAGGGCAGAACCAGAGAGGGCTGTTCTGGGAGTCGGTGTCACCAAGGAGGCAGAGACAGCAGGACCTTCTTGGTTGGTGTCCCCATGGGCCTCTCCCAGCTATGAGGCACGTGCGGCAGGAGCCTGGCAAGTGCCTCGTGCAAGGTCAGCCCCTTCAATACAGAGCAGAGCCTGGGGAGAGGGGGCAGGCAGGGAGGACCAGCCAACACGTTTAGGATGCACCTGTGGGGGAAAGGTTACTCTGGAGGGGATTCAAGGCCCGGCTGAGAATGGGCTAAAAGGCTGAAAGCCAAAGTCATAAAAGCTCACTGGTTTCAGGCAGGTCGATGGGTCAGTTATCTGGGAAGAAAAAATATATATGCATGTATGTGTATAACGGAATCACTATGCTGTTTACTAGAAATGAACACACTATAAACCGACCATACTTCAATAAAATAATAAAATAAAATAAAACAGCATACATTTGTTTTCTCTGGTTACCATGGGTCAGGAGCCTGATCATGACTTAGCTGGGTTCTTGTCGGATCTTGAGCTATGTTTTTTATCTAGAGACTCAACTGGGGGAGCATCCACCTCAGAGCTCACTCTGAATCCACTTCCTTGTGGCCGTACGACTGAGGGCCCAGCCACTGGCTCGCTGTCAGCTGGAGGCCCTCCTCAGGTCCTGGAGCTGCTGGCAGGTGAGAGCTACACGGGCTGCTCCAAGGGGGCCACTGACTTCATTAAGCCCACAAGGAGAGCCTCTAACTCCAGTCTGCCCAGTGGGAGTCTCAAATGGCATAACGTAATCATGTGCATGACACCCCCCCACCTTTGCCATATTCTGTGGGACAGGATCACACAAAGGCACGAACGCTAGAGGCAGGCATCACTGGCGGCACCTCGGGTCTGTCTGGGACGGTACATCTCACACTGTAGCTCTGCATAACTCGGTTCTGGCTTTCTTCTTCTGCGGGTCTGAATGTTTTAGAGTACTCACTGAAGAGTAAAACAACAGGAACAGAAAATTAGCATTAAAACCCACAGACATTGCAATTAGCGAAAGCCCAGAGATACCATGAAAATTTGCTAACGCAAATCTTATGCCAAATTAACCTTAACTTTTAATTTGGACTGTCCAAATACATCTCATAAGCTTTAATGTTCTGCAAGGCTTTTGACCGAAAACAATTTTTTTAATCCAGTTCTAGGAATTTATTCAAAGAAAATCATCATGGGTGCGTGCAAAGATTTAACTACGAGGATGTTCACCAGAACATGGCAAATAACTGCAAAAAACAAAACCAAAAACGTCTCTAAACTACACACAACTGGTTGTTTTACAATAGGACATTAACTAGTTGAGCTACAGTGCATTCATGCAACAGAATATGACGACCCTTTCGAATACAATGTGGAAGAATACTAAGTACACGGAAAAATGTTTACTGTCTAATGATAAAAAAAGGGAAAAAGTCTTAAAACAACACTCACACCGTGATCCCATTTGGTCTTTGTTTTGTTCTAGCACATACAGGCACGGATAAATGACTGGAAAGATTTATACAAAATCGTAACGATGACTTCTTTGGAAGATGAGATTAGATGTGACTTTTCTTTGGCCTTATTTTATTTTCTAAGTTTTCTGCCATTAACATTTATTGCTTTTATAGTAAGAAAAATGTTCATTTTAAATATCTAAGTTTTCATAATCAAATATACGGAACAAAGGGTGTATTGAAAACAATCTAAAAATTACCATTTGGCAGTTTAGTGTTAGAGAACGAGATAACTTGGGGTCATGGTTCTCCTACTTGGTGGCTCTGTTACCTCAAGCAGATCACTTTATCTCACTAACCTTGGTTGACTCGTGTAATGAAAATACCATTTACTCTAGCCAACAGCAGTATTTACTGTAATGATTAAGATGATGGGTAAGTGCTTGCTGAATTGTAAAGCAGGAGTCGCGGAGTATTTATCCCTTTGACATTCAGATTAAGTAAGACACACTCTAGAAAAGTATGAGGGATCTGGTGGTTAAAGTCGTCATTGAACGTGATTCTTTGGTGGAGTTTTCTCCAAAACCCTGTGCTCAATTACAAGTTCACTTGGTGTTTGGGCTCGGTGTGTCCAAGTGCACGTCTTGTCTGCCATTAGCTAGCTGCGCGGTCTTGAGGACATCAGGTACCTCTCTGACTTTGGTTTCCTATCATGAGCTTGTCAGGTAAGCACTATCTTAGGTCTACAGGTTTCTTAACAGGCCTATTTCTACCGAGAAACTGATGCTCTCCAGGGCTTTTTCCAGCTCTGACATTCTGTGATTTGGGGACTGTATGTTTTCAGAGGTAGCGCACAGCCAAAGGAAATGGGGAAAAAGAAGAGTCAAGGTTTTCTAGTCTGAGGAGGTTGCTGTCTAGGCTGGTTACATTCTCAGGTGAGGAAAGACTGAAGGATATTAGCGATCTATTCTATCAGTGATACAACAGCATACCTCCCGAAGTCCTGCTGCGTTGGCATGAGCGGTGGCTTTGGAGAACACTAGGAACATGGGCTCTGATGTCAGGCAGGCCTGGGCTCAAACACTGACCTGGTCTCACCACTTGTGCGATCTTGACAAGTTATTTCACCTTTCTGAGCCTCAGTTTCTTCTTTACCTTCAAATCTCGTATGACTCTTACCTTATGTGTTTCGGAAGAATTAGGAATGAGTACAGTGCCTGGCACATAGTAGGTGTTCAGTAACCAGTAAATTTATTATTTGGGGTTCATTGGAAGAAAGCTATCCAAGAATATTCTTGATTTAATCTCCTTCATTTCTCCTGGATCAGCAGGATGACCTCCCCATCTAAGATGTGTCTTTGTCATGGTTCAAGTATCCTCTTAAGAGGAGAACAGTCAGGGTCTTCTGGTCACCTGGGCCCAGGATGACTGACCAGCTTCCATTCCTGCCCCTTGGCGGGGCTGTTTCCAGTGGTTAGTTTTCTCAGGGACGGCTGGGCACCCAGTCCCTTGGCACTGCAATCCATGGGAATCTTGGTGTGTTGACTGTACCCTCCACTACCATTAGTGAACAAGAGAGAGGACCCTGGAATATATTAAATCACCTTTGTGTCAGATTGTGTTGAAATAGCTGAGAACACTTTGTAGAATAAAATTATATTTCATGATAGGTGGATCTTGTGAGCTAAAAGTTTTGCAGTGTGTTTCTCTTTAGAAAGACTAAGTTAAAATTTTTCCTTCTGTAAAAGACTGAACTTAATATATTTCCTAAATATCAGGTATGTTTGTGCCAAGAAACTTTTTTTTTTAACATGGGGAACTATAGAGAAGATCCTCTTTAAGTAATCACAAGTGAATGTGGTTTAATTTTTTAAAATTTTATTAACTTGTTTCCTTTCATTAGAAAAGCAATGCATGTTCATGTTAAGAAATTTATTTTCACACAATTCGTAAGAGAATAAAACGGAAAGAGTCCTCTTCATTCCCCCAACCCTCAGAGACACTCATTCACCTCCCTAGATGTAACCTCTATTAAGCTGGATGTGCAGCCCACCAGAATTTGGGGAGCTTATATACCACGCATATATGACATAATACATTTGGATTTTAAGTAAACTTTTTATTTGAGAGCATTGCAGATTCATGAACAGTTACAGGAGATAATACTGAGAGATCCTGTGTACCCTTTATCCAGTTCCCCCCAATGGTAACATCTTACAAAACTATAACACAGTATCGCAGCCGGCATGCTGACATTCATCCAGTTCTGTCAAGAGACAGAACATTTCCATAGCTACAAGGACCCCTCATGTGGCCCTTTTATAACTACATCCACTTCCCTTCCATGACAACCCCTTCAGATACCCCTGGCAACCAGTGTTTTCCATTTGCATAATTTTGTCATTTCCAAATGTCATATAAATAGAATCATACAGTATATAACATTTGAGGATTGGCTTTTTTCACTCAGAATAATTCCCTGCAGATTCATCCAGGCGTGTATCAATAGTTTGTCCTTTTTTTTTTTAAATTGTTGAGTGGTGTCCCACGGTATGGTTATACCAGTGTTTGTTAATCTATTTACCTGTACAAAGACATCTGAGTTACTTCCAGTTTGGGGTTTTTAACAAATGAAGCTGCTATAAACATTTATGTACAGGTTTTTAATGTGAACACAAGTTTTCATTTCTCTGGGATAAATGCCCAGAAGAGTAATTGCTGGGTCATACCGTAGACCCAGCAGTTGAGAAACACTTTGTAGAATAAAATTGTATTTCATAATGGGTGGATCTAAAGGTTGTCTTTGGAATTGTTCTTCTACTCACTAGAGGTAAGGTTTTGTTTCTCTTGGGCTGTTTTCAAGGTTCTTTCTTTGCTTTGTTTTCAGAAGTTTGATGATGATGTGACTTGGTGTGGGTTTCTTTGGGGATTCTATTTGAGTTTCACTTGGCTTCTTGAATCTACAGATTTATGTCTTTCACTAAATTTGGGAAGTTTTCACCTTTTTTAAAAAAGTTTTTTTCAGCCTCACCATTTTTCTCCTCTCCTCCTGGAACGCTGCCGGCAAGAATATTAGATCTTTGTTTACAGTTCTACCGGTCCTTGAAGTGCTGGGGTTTTTTCCCTTCTTCTTCTTTTCAGTCTGTTTTTGCTCTGCTGTTCAGATTGGATACTTGCTATTATTTGATCTTTAAGTTCACCGTTCCTTTCTCCGTCCTCCCCATTCTGCTGTTGAGCCTATCCGTTGGGTTTGGTGGTGGTTGTTGGCTACTGTACTTTTCATTTCTAAATTTCCACTTGGTTCATTTTGTATCTTCTCTCTCCTTCTGGAGAGTTTCTATTTCCCATTTGATTTAAGCATGTTCATAATCGCTCATCGAAGCATTTTTATGACGGTGCTTTTAAAACCTGGTCAGATAAGTCTGAATCTCTGTCATCTCAGTGCTGTCATCTATTGATTGTCTTTTCTTATTCAGTTTGAAATCTTCCTGGAGCTTGATACAGGGAGTGATTTTCTATTAAAGACAGAGGAGAAAGATAGCGATTTTCTATTAAAACCTAGACATATAGGGCATTATATTATGAGACACCGGATCTTATTTAAACCTCTATTTTAGCTGCCCGTGACCCCTCTCTGGCAGGAGAAGAGGCAGGGGTACACATCCAGGTTTCCCTCTTGGCCTCTACTGACACTCAAGCTGGGGTGCTCCTCGCTATTGCTGAGCAGGGGCGGAGCTGTGCTCCCCACTAGGCCTCCACTGGTGCCTGCCTGCGCGGGCCAGGAGTGCCTCCTACTGCTCTCCACGTGGGCTCCACTGACGGCACTGGGGTAGTGGCCTTGCTACCTGTGGGCAGTGGAGAAAGTCCTGACTCCCCGCTTGGCCTTCCCTGGCACCATTCTGGCACAGGGGTTAGGGCACCTCATCATAGCTTGGTGAGAGTGGACGCCTAGGCTCTCCATTCAGCCTAGACTACTGTGGGGGGAGGTGAGGGCCACAGTTGTTTTCTCCCCCGTGGTTCTTGGCTGGAGCACAGCAGTTATTGTCTAAAAGTTTTCTGTTCTGCTACACTGCCCATTCCCGGTCTGCTGGTTAGAGAGAGGCAACTTATGCTGGGGCTTTTTTTGGTCTGTGCCCACTGGTATTTCCAGTTGCCAACTTCTTCAGCCCCAAGTCTAGGATATATGAGGCAGAAAGAAAACCCAGGGACTCACCACGGCATTGTTTCTGGGGCCCCAAACTCCTTAGCTGGTTTGCCCTCCTGTCTCCCCACCTCTCAGCATCGTCTTCCATCTGCTGTACATACAACGCCGAGGGTTCCAGCTGTACTCAGTGGGAGGAATCGGGAGAAGCATGTCTACTCTATCTTCCTGGAAGCGGAAGCCCATGGTTTACTTTTAACAGGGACTCAAATAGTACAAGTTTTCCCTTGAGCTATAAAACATGCAGTTTTAGCAACTACAAAGAACTAACGGAAGACTACAATTAAGGAAATCTTTAATCTTGAAATTGGCTAAATAAAATCATAGTGTCTGTGCATTCTAATGTATAACAGGGAAAACTGAACAATGATTGTGTGTTAGAGGTCCAGAATTACTGAGTCAGAAGAGCTTAATTAATATTTTAAACCAACAGTGCAAATCCAAGTGTCTCATAAGGTAACACCAACCATCAAAATGAAATTTAGGACCCAGGGTGCTCACAATTTATATCTTACTGTATGGAGCCCATCTTTCTTTCCTTCTTTCTTTCTTTCCTTCTTTCATTTTTCTTTCTTTCTCTCTTTCCTTCTTCCTTCTGCTCTTTCACTTTTCTCTTTTTATTTTAAAGCTTTGCTTTTTTTGGAGTCCTACACTGCAGCTTTCTGCCTTTATTTCTGAGCCAACCATTAGACCCAATCGATTGGAATTATCATTTAGAAAACTGTCACAAATCTGTGGACTATTCTGAACTAATCAGGATAATTCTACAGCCTGCCTCTGTGGTAACTTGGACCAGCACTCCCCAGCATTTTGCTTCCTGACTTTTCCACACACTGCTTAGAATAGGATTTTGCTATATATATATATATATATATATCTCCCATCTTCACAAATTGGGCCAAAGTTTTATCCTCCTTGTTCCGATTTTCACTTTAAATTTTTCATACATCAGCTTAAAAAAATATTTGTTTAAAAAGAAAACTGAAAGAAAGAAAAAAGAAAAAAAGAAAGAAAATCATACTAGTGAAGTTGTACCTTAAAAAAAGAAAATAGAAAGGTTCCACAACATTCCATAGGAAGCAAGTTTCTATCTTGTAAATTTTAGAGCAAGAAAGCAAATTTTAGAGCAAGAAATTTTAGAGCAAGAAAGTATCCAATCTGCCTCCAGATCTCTCACAGCACTTTATATTAATTTCTCTTGGTTTTGTGAAAATAAACCTCACCTTCACGCGCTGATGTCTCACTCTCCAGTGTGCCGGATACATGACCCATGGCAGAGAACCTAAACTTGACCTTATTCTTATCTGTCCTTTAAAATTTCTGTCTCCTTGAATCTTGTCTTCTTTAAAACCCACTCCTCTGCCCCTTGATGAAGACTCAGGCCCTGTGGCTCTTCTGCTCATTCTGGAATAACAAATCACGCTCAAGCCTCAAAACAGTAAAGAGAACATATCCTGGCAAAGGTGATAACCAACTTTTGGGTTTTCCATTGAAGACCAGGCTGTGCCCCCTCTTTCTTCTTCTTGATTCTTGAGGCCTCTGGCTGAAGCTGCTGGCCTCAGGGGAGGGAAGCAGCAGGGGGCTTCTGCTCACCTCTCTGCCACCTCCCCTCCCACTCCTAGCCACTCACGCTAGCTAGGTGACAGTGGTGCACGATAGGCCAGGAAAGCAGACAGAACAGTCCTTCTTTGGTCACTGGTTTTGTACTCTCTGACACTAGCAGATGATTGACGCCCACCCTTTCCAAGATTCCCATCCCTGGATCCGCCCTCTTGCAACTCCTCTGCAGCCTTCCCCTGTGGGTTTGCAGCTGGGGTCCTCTCACTCGCCTGGCTAGTCCTCTTGTGCAGGATTTGTGAAGGTTACAGGGCATTCCTCCTCTTAGATGTGGTCCTCATCTAGTCCCTGCAAGACACTCATGTGTTTTTCACTCTGAGAAATTCCCAGCTCAGCATTACACTCCTGAGTCTGCCATCAAAGCCATTCACCAACCTCCTCTTCTCCTCTAAATCTCCCCCAGGACCAGACCCAAGTCCATCCTGTCCTCTGACCCATCTCCTGGCAGCCCCTCTGAAAAATCCAGCAAGGTTGGACGCACCCCTACTTGAAGTGAGTGGGGATCACAGTGTATCAACAGTTGCCTTGAACGGAAAGTTCCTTACAAATACTTCCTTTTCCTGACCTACACACCCTAGCTCCTTTTGAGCCTCAATCTGGCTGAAGGCGTTCAAGAACTGTAGAGCCAATTCTTAATTTTTTTTCCTTTAGAGAATCTGCACATGATGATCTGGTACTTCATTTTAGAGTTTCACATCTATATTTTTCTCATTCAAAACTTTAATGGTAACACTCAGCCCAGGAGAACAGCAACTTTTTGTCCCCTCAACTTACTTCTTGGTACTTCAGGACTATTATTAAATCTTCCTCTGGCCTCTTTTTTTCCGAAATGATTTCAGTTCTTAGAGCCATTTCCCTCAAGTCCTTTAATAATTTTGATTTCTCTCCTCTATTTTCTCTAGTTTTACCACATTTCAAGTAATTGTGCATCAGAGAAATGAACATGCAAGATGTGTGCATGATTTTGGTGGCTGTATTTTTATTTCACTTACTATTTTTGGTAGGTAAAACTTTCATATATTTCAAAACCCAGAAGTAACAGAAGGGCAAACAGTGACAGTTTCTTTTCCAATCTGGCCCCAAAGCCAACAGCACCATCCCCCACTCCCAGGAACGAGTGTAATTACTTCCCTGAGAATCCTTCCAGTGATATTCTGTGTACCTACAAGTGATTATGTATTTATATTCCATCCCCTACTCAACCCACACACTTATCCTCTGCTTTTTTCCCCTTATAAGAATATCTTCAAGATCCTCCAGATCAGAAAAGCACCTCTTCATTCTCTTCTGTAGCCACGTTACAGTTGTTTGGCCAGATGCCCTCCAGTTTATTTAACTAGTCCCTTACTCTTGATCCCAACCTCCATCACAAATGATGCTGCGATGAAAAATCTGAATACATCATGTAGCTCCTGTGAGAACATACCTACAGGATAAATTCCTAGAACTAGAATTGCTGGTCAAAACACGTGTGCAGTTATAATTCTAATGATGTTGCCAAATCGTTTTCCACTGGACTTGTACCAATTCCACTCTCCCCCGGAATACAGGAGAGTGCCCCCTCCTCAGACTTTTCTCCATGCCACGCTGTCAAGTTTTAAATCTTTGACAGTCTGCTTGGTGACACTTTGAATCTCAGCTGAGTGAGGCTGAACGAATAATGTTCCTCCATTTCAGTTGCTTGTATTTTCTTATTTTGTGAACTATCTGGCACATGATACTTGAACACTTACCTGGGCAGGTCTGGGAATGGTGGAGGATTACTTTAGTGGCCACACAGGCGAATAGTAGGAGATCCTGTCACAGAGAAAGGGCCAGGGCTTAATGCAGTGAAGCTTCAGGAGCCCGGGCAGCAAGGAGTAGCGACTCTTTGCCAGCGCCCAAGGCAAACTTGGACAGCTGTGAGCTTCAGCCCAGTGCACACAGTTCTAGGTCACGTCCCCCATGCAACCCCTAGGTGGGTGATGATTTCAGAGAGGGAATTATTAGCGATATTATGCTCCAAGTGAACCTAGCAATCAAGAAAGTATAAGACAAGCAAAAAATCTTGAAAATATTTGATACCTACCACGTAAGACTTCATAATCCAACAGCACTAAAGAAGTCTGGTCTTGCAGTTATTGATCTTGGAAGGGAAATGTATGTATGTAAGTAGATGATAGACAGACAGACAGATAGATGAATATACATATGTCGGCTTTTTTAAAAAAATGCACAGCATAAAAGCTATGAGTTGAGTTTATTCAGTGTCTCACCGTGGACCAGAGCCTGGGAGACAGCCTCTCAGTTCTGAGAAACTGTTCCAAAGACGTAAGAGGGGAGGTCAGTGTATGTGTGACTTCAGCAAAGGCGCACCAGCAAACACACGCACATCTCAGTAGAAGGCTGCTGCTGGTCACGAGGAACAGGCATCTTTGTTAACAGCTTCAGTGCTTTTCTAAGTATGGGAAGGTACAAGAGTTTGGGTTCATAGAATTTTCTCCTGAAAACATCTAACCATCTGAAGGCCTATTCTGCCAGTTTTCCTAGAACACAGAGCACCTCATTCTTGATCTCTGCCCTGAACTCTTTTCAGGGTGTGTTAAAGGTCAGTGACTGCAGGGGTTACTGACTCCATCCTTGTAGGGCCGGATGGCTAGTGACATTCTGTAGATGGCATATACATGTGTAATATATAGTATATTTAAGATATATGATAACATACAAATTATATGTAAGTATTCAAGTATTTTGCACCTTTATATTAGGAAATGTGATTTGCCCTTAGAGTTAGCTCAATCAATGATTATTTGATGACAGAATTGTTATTAACTATTTAAAAAATTATGTACCACATCTAGGAAAACAAAACAAACAAGCAAAAAAATATTTCTGCTAGTTAGTGTGTGTGTGTGGCGGGGTGCTCTTTTACTATCAGAGGCATTTGCTTGCAAATGTAGAAGACCTACTGACTTTTGAATGAGCAAATCTGTTTACACCTCTTAAAAGATGTATTTAAAAGGTAGACTTAATTTTGCAGATTACTCAGAGCCGCATGCGATACTTGTAAGGCTTTGAAATTCGACAAGCAGAAAGATTTCTTTCCAGGTCATTCTAGCCCCTTTCACCGACTGGTGGGCAAGCCAACTCTTGAATAACCTGAGGTCCCTGCAGATGGGGATATGTGACTGTCCGACCGGGATGGGTGCTGGTAACATCAGAGGCTGTGACTGATGGCAGATGTGGGCCTTGTAGACTTGAAGACCCTTGGGCCCACAGAAGCCGTAGGGGCCCTGACAGACGCTTTGCCACGTGTTACGAGACAACGAGAGGGCAGCACCTGAAACGTCCAGGCCTTGATTCCAGAAGGGAGAGGGGGCTGGGAGCCATGTGCACCCAGTTAAGAATGGGAATAAGCACAGAACAATATTAACTTTAGAAACGAGATGAAAGTCCATGTGTGCTCTCGCTCGCACAGAAGGGGAGACCCAGCGAGCCTCCCACCCCCTTCAGCACCGCTTTTAGATGGAAATGATCTTGTTGAATACTGACACAAAAGCAAGATACAAACGCAGCGCAGAGCCTCAGCGAAGAACAATTATATGCAAGTAGGTTACATGAAAATACAGTCTCAAGTGTATGATATCTGGTGAATATTAATTAAGGAAATTATTCTCAGAGCAGCTAGGGTTTAAAACAAGATCTAATCTCTGCTGAGTGGGTCTGCCATCCTCCCTCTCAATGTTTAACTTCAAAGGGCTTTGGAGTTGGGGCAAATGAGATTATTATTACTTCAATCTAGAGAGGAAGCCTATTCTAACCAATTTGAGAGTAAATTCTAGAATTACACATAGCAGTTCGTGCAAAGAAGGAAAAAAGATTCCACACTCACCAATGCCTATATGCTAAAATGTTTCTTAAGCTTTTTCATCTGATCTATTCCGCCTGCAAAAATCGCAAATTTCGAATACAGAGCTGGAGAAGGATGTGGGCCACCTGAAGATACAACTTTATTCACCTGTTCTTTTCGTTGACTTGGGGCCATGAGAAATGATAAAACTACCATTAACAACAGCTAGCACTTAGATCTGTGTGTCAGGTACTAAGTGTTTTCCTCATATTAGCTCATTTGGACTTTTTTTTTTTTTGAAGTTTAGTTGATTTATAATGCATTAATTTCTGGCATACAGCATAGTGATTCAGTCATACATATACATATATATATTCCTTTTCATATTCTTTTTCATTATAGGCAATATCCATCTGTTTCAATCAGGGCAGTGGTCTGCTGACCTGTACAACTCAGGGTAGGGGGACAGAGGCAAGACACTGAAAATCCAAAAGCCAAACCGCTCATTAGGCAGGACCAGTAAAATCGAATCATACCCACAGATTTATTTAGGCCTTCCGTATGAGTTTGGCAGATGTGTATTGCTTTCAAGCCTGGGGCAAGATAACCAATGACCTGACGTTAGAATGTTGGCTGTTGGTGTAAGTCCTGCCGCCCCGTTCGGCACTCTCCCACAACCGCAGACAGATGCAGGCACGGGTGGGTGGGTGTTGAAGCGCCCGACGGTTATGGGTACGGTGACAATGGGACGAGAAGTGCAATGCTGAGAAGAGACAGGATGGCTGCAGATGTGGGCTGCACGTGGATAAAGGTGAACCCAACTACGTGGGTTCCCCAACAGTCCTTTAGGCCGCCAGGGTGCTCCTGTGAGAGCTGAGGGGAAGTGGAAGTGTGTTCTGACATTTCTGGGTCCACTGGAGACCCAGAAAAGTTAGGCTGCCCCAGGCAGAGCCAGCCTCATCACCTGCCATTTGCCCCACACTCCAGCCCAGCAAGCCCACCCCTGGTGTCCCAAGTGTGCCGCGCACGTCCCACACACTGGCCCGTGGAAACGCTAGCCCCTCTGCCGTGCTGGCCCTTCATCCACCCTCCCATCGCTCCAGCAGGTAAAACCCTCCTCATGGATTCTGACGACCTCCTACCTCGGAGACTGAGATGGTCCCTTCCTTTACTGTCCTGCTGATCTTTGTCATCTCACCCCATTCCAGGACTTTCTATTTATTAATCTGTTTCTGTACCTTTCTCCTTCACTTAACAAAACATTGAAAATATGAACTATGTCTTTCGCATTTTTATATCTGCTGCTCCGGACACTGTGCCAGGTATACCCAAAGTACTCAGCAAATCGTTGTAGAATGAATGCTCATCTCAGAGAAATCTAAAGTCCTAGAGATGTGTTTTCTTCGGTCCGTACACCACTTAATAATACATATGTTGTTAATGTTGACAATCTCAGAGATTTCCCAGAAAAAAAATGGATTATTTGCTTTAAAAACCAAAGGAGCTTGCCACACTAGGCTTGAATTCCCACACACAGTGAGCTGAAGTTGAGGAGTGGCTGTCCCCTTTGGGTGAGAGGTTTCCTTTGCAGTTTGCCCCAGTCTCTATCCCTAAGTATTTCTGCCTCACACTTGCCCTCTTCACTCATTTATAAAATCCACCTCAGCCTTGTCAGGCACTCGGCACCTCCGATCCCATCAGACCAAGTCATTAGATGGTCCTCTCCTTCTGACCTCCCCTCCCAGCACGTGTGGGCCACGCTGGTTTTCCATCCTCCGATTTTTGCCGTACCCACGCCTCCCTCCCTCAGTCTATTCTGAAAGGGCCAAAGAGGTGGGAGGAGGATGCTTCTCTTGGTTCATGGAAAGAGAGCTAAAGGAAAGATCTGTCTTCTCCTGGCATATCAGGTGTTGGCACTGTGAGAGGCAGGATACTGGCCGGGACGGACAAACAAGCCAGCTGGGAACGGCAGCCCCTCCATCTCAGCCAGCAAACACCTTTTCAAAGCCTACTTTGCATAAGACAGTTCCGCTAACCACATGAGAGTCACAGGGGAATAGTTACCTCTGGAACTTCCTTTCTGCAACAGTAGCACCCTGTTTAGGGAACCAAGGATGGAATACGATCGCCTCATATATATGCTGCCATGAGGTTTCAGACCACCATACTGGCATGAGCTTTCAATGTTGAAAAAATAATAAATGAAAAAAAAAATAAATGAAAGCTCTCTGGAAATAATAGGAGCACTGTGTCCTGGAACCCGAAGAATAATAATCCCAGACCATCAGTCATCCAAGCTGAAGACAGTTTCTTCCTCTCTCTCTGCGGTGCCTGGGATGACACGACACAGACCCTTAGCCCAGGAGCCATACGAGCTGAGCCGGGGACACAGAAGAGGCTGCTCCCACTGCTGCTGAAACGCCCAGGAAGACAGGGGGCTTTTCCCTGACCAAAGGTGAGGGTCACTTTCTGTGTGTTAATGCGAAGCACAGTTTGGGAAGACAGATCGTATTTCATGGGCCCCAAGTTTCTGGACTCGAGGGGGACCATCACACCCACATCTGGAGGATTCTCCACATATGGAGAATTCACATATTTGGAAGCCTCCCTACAATCTGAAGCAGTAGGCACTGTCCTTACACCCATTTTACAGATGGCGAAGCTGCAGCCAAGCAGGCTAAGCCATGTCACCAGGCTCATGAGTTCAAGGTTACCGTTAGAACCCAGGTCTGTCTCTCTGGCCCCAAAGCCCTGGCTCCTAGCTCTCACTCTCTGTTACTTCCCTGTTCATTCACCTACATCACAAATATTTACTGAGCACCTACTATGAGCCAGGCATGGCTCTAGGGACTTAGGGTACAACAATGAACAAAGCAGGTGAGGATCCTTGGCCTCAGAGAAGTTCCACTGGACCCAGCATATACTGCAGTGGTGAAGACTGTCCCCAGGTAGGTCTCACTTATAAGGT